CCCATTATAGAGAGAAGATAAAAAACCAAATGAGAACATTTGATTTCTGCAATGAAGAAGAAGAGAACTCGAAAGGGTGCAGAAAGCACAGGAGAAAAGAGAAGAATCTCGAAGCCAAGTTATGAAGATCTTGAACCCTAAGAGCCCATTTAAGGAGTCACTCTACAGTTGCCAATCCAACGGCGTTGGAGGCAACACGTGGTGACATCCTTGGCGTCCAAAATCAAGTAAGTGAAACACGGTTTTAAGCTTTTCTTTTCAAAACACGTTTTTTGCACCAAAACAGAAAACAGAAGCTGGGCTTTCAATAAAAACCAGCTGGGCCAGTTCAACAGGCCCAATGGGCACTTGCATCATTGTGCCAAAAATCCTTTCAGTATCTTATTAGAATAATGCTAGATGTACATTTCCTTTACATATTCTTTGACATTTTCCTCTATATGGAAGAAATCTGGACAGTGATGTGATGATTGTGGTCAAAGTCAATGGTATAAATGCAGCCATATGAAAGAGTGTAAACCGTAATGTTAACCACAATATACATGTAGTACGATTGACCTTATTATGATAACTAGCTTCTTTTTTTCCCGTCATTAGGGTTTGTGGGAAGGCGGCACTTATTGGATTGGCAGCCACACACCATATAGCATGGAGCTCCTTAGTATTGGCTCATTGTCTAGTTAATCAACTTGTATAAATGCTTCTCTCTCGGGCCTAATCTTTGAACGCCTAGCGTTGACCTTGGCTTAGATGTTGTGCTCATTGGTATCTTGCACTTAATTTTGTCCAACTATTAAATATGATTCATAGCATCGTGCTATTCTCCCTCATCACTTAAAGCAAGGCCAAGCCATAGGCTTCATCACTTAGGCTAGGACTCATGAGGATCGGCCCTATCGTTGAGGTGTTAGGGTCGGCACAAGACCCGATCCAAGGTTTCATCACTTAAAGCTAAGACTCATGATAATCGACCACATCACCGAGGTGTGAACTTTATTCTCATCACTTAAGCAAGGCCCATTTCAAGGCTTGAGTGCTAATCTCATCATAAAAGAAAGTGTATTTGTAATAAGGGAAGTGCTACATGTACATCCCATTATAGAGAGAAGATAAAAAATCAAATGAGAACATTTGATTTCTGCAATGAAGAAGAAGAGAACTCGAAAGGGTGCAGAGAGCACAAGAGAAAAAAGAAGAATCTCGAAGCCAAGTTATGAAGATCTCGAACCCTAGGAGCCCATTTAAGGAGTCACTCTACAGTTGCCAATCCAACGGCGTTGGAGGCAACACGTGGTGACATCCTTAGCGTCCAAAATCAAGTAAGTGAAACATGGTTTTAAGCTTTTCTTTTCAAAACACGTTTTTTGCACCAAAACAGAAAACAGAAGCTGGGCTTTCAATAAAAACCAGCTGGGCCAGTTCATCAGGCTCAATGGGCACTTGCATCATTGTGCCAAAAATCCTTTCAGTATCTTATTAGAATAATACTAGATGTACATTTCCTTTACATATTCTTTGACATTTTCCTCTATATGGAAGAAATCTGGACAGTGATGTGATGATTGTGGTCAAAGTCATTGGTATAAATGCAGCCATATGAAAGAGTGTAAACCGTAATGTTAACCACAATATACATGTAGTACGATTGACCTTATTATGATAACTAGCTTCTTTTTTTTCCCGTCATTAGGGTTTGTGGGAAGGCGGCACTTATTGGATTGGCAGCCACACACCATATAGCATGGAGCTCCTTAGTATTGGCTCATTGTCTAATGGTTAATCAACTTGTATAAATGCTTCTCTCTCGGGCCTAATCTTTGAACGACTAGCGTTGACCTTGGCTTAGATGTTGTGCTCGTTGGTGTCTTGCACTTAATTTTGTCCAACTATTAAATATGATTCATAGCATCGTGCTATTCTCCCTCATCACTTAAAGCAAGGCCAAGCCATAGGCTTCATCAATTGGGCTAGGACTCATGAGGATCGGCCCTATCGTTGAGGTGTTAGGGTCGGCACAAGACCCAATCCAAGGTTTCATCACTTAAGCAAAGACTCATGATAATCGACCACATCAATGAGGCGTGAACTTCATTCTCAACACATAAGCAAGGCCCATTTCAAGGCCTTGAGTGCTAATCTCATCATAAAAGAAAGTGTATTTGTAATAATCTATATAACTTAAATAAGTGTCTTTGTAATTCTCTCTAAAGAATAATATGTTAAATATACGATTGTTACATGGCCAATTATTAGGTAACTATAAATATGGGATAATGAAATTCCAAACTTATTGCAAAATTGGTGATTTTTTTTTGGTATTTCACATGACTAAATTCATATTTTAAAATGGACTATCAATCACCAAATAAGTAAAATATCATTTGTCATGTAATATTAATTCAAGTATTTCCTTCTTTATATTTCCAAATCACTATTTTCGACTATTCAAGACAAATTCATTTCCAATTTTTGTTTCAAGACAATAAACATGCTATAAGCCCATAACCCAAGAGATATTTGATGAAGACATTTACCTCTTTTTAGGTACATCATTAATTAATTAATTAATTAATTTTTGTTTTATTATGTGCCATGCCTGTTTGATTCCTACAAATCTGACGTCCCAACTTAACTCATCTCTACTGACAATTGACAATTAACCTAATAAATCCTAGGTAATTACACTTTCCTTAAGTAACCATCATTTAAGGAGTAATTATTACACCAGCAACAAATCTACTTGTGTAATCCCCGGACTACCCTTCATCATGTTCCTTGCCCATTTTCTTTCCTGTTTTTCAATAATCAATTGGCCCTAGATTTTCTCCGACAAGCTCCCATACATCCATGTCTGAAAATTTACTTCCTTTTCACCTGATTTTTCTACATGAACTTGATTTTCATGGGCTTTATGATCATTGATGGAAATTGATATAGAAATAGAAGCTGACAGTAAGCTAACAATTGAATCGTAATCTTAAAGAAATCTTTTCAATTAAATTCCACCAAACTCCTAACGTTCAATCAATCACCCTCATTTCTTCAAAGCCACTCTCTCTCAAATTAGCTTACAATTTTTTCTCTCTCAAGAAGTTGTTTTGACGGAGGGAGGGGGAAAATGAAGCAGCTGACGGCGTTGCAGCAGCAGGCTCGCCGGAGCAACAGTTTTCGAGGTGCATCTTTGCCGTCGGACACCTCTGTGGAGGGCGCAATTAAGTCGCCGGCGACAATTTTTTGGCTAGTTCTTCACGGTCTTTGCTGCCTCATTAGTCTAGTCCTTGGATTCCGATTCTCTCGTATGGTATTTTTTCTATTTTTCTCCACTTCCTCCCCTTCCGCCACTACTAATCTCTACTCAGCACTCAGAACAACATTGCCATCATCCGTCACTACTTCGCTTCCAGTGGTGAATGGTACAGCGGTTGCGGTTGGCGGTGGGAGTCGAGTGGTGGTGGGCAGGCACGGGATACTGATACGGCCGTGGCCTCATCCAGATCCGGCAGAGGTGATGAAGGCGCACCACATAATCGAGAGGGTTCAACGAGAGCAAAGAGTTCAGTATGGGGTTAAGAGCCCCAGGACTATAATTGCAATAACTCCGACTTATGTAAGGACCTTCCAGACGCTTCATCTCACTGGTGTAATGCACTCCTTGATGAATGTTCCCTATGATGTGGTCTGGATCGTGGTGGAAGCTGGTGGAACCACTAATGAAACCGCTGCGCTAATTTCCAAATCTGACCTCAAGATTGTGCACATTGGATTTAATGTGAGAATGCCAATTTTGTGGGAGGACAGGCATAAGATGGAGTCTAAAATGCGATTTCACGGTCTAAGGTATGTTAGAGATTGACCCCGCCATTTTTATTTTTTACGTTTAATTTTGTATTAATTCACGTCACAATTTGCACCCATTTAGTAAGACAGTACTGTGATTACTAGTAGAATTGAAATTTCATTTAGCAAAAGTTTTTTTGCAATGTGACAGAGTTGTGAGAGAGAAGAAATTAGATGGTATAGTGGTGTTTGCAGATGAAAGTAATATGCATAGTATGGAGTTATTTGATGAGATCCAGAATGTAGAATGGATTGGGGCGGTTTCCGTTGGGATTCTTCCACACTCAGACTCAGGTGGTTCTGAAGGAGTAGAATTTTCAGCGGCTTCGAGAGAGGATAATGACAAAAATGAGAAATCACAAATGCCAGTTCAGGGTCCTACTTGTAATTCTTCAAACCAGTTGGCTGGATGGCATAACTTTAATTTGCTGCCATTCATGGAGAGGAGTGCAAGGTATGTCGGTGACAGGGCAGTCGTGCTACCAAGGAAGCTGGAGTGGGCTGGGTTCATTTTGAATTCGAGGTTAGTGTGGAAGGACGTTGAAGATAAGCCCTCATGGGTTAAGGATTTGGATGTGGTTGTTAGGGAGGGAGAGGATATTGAGAGTCCAATGTCTTTGTTGGAGGACCCTTCTGTGGTGGAGCCTCTTGGAAGTTGTGGGCGCAAAATTATGCTGTGGTGGCTCCGAGTTGAAGCACGTGCAGACAGCAAATTTCCTGCCAGGTTCGTCTTCTATTTTTATTCTCACAATGTGCATTGTGCGGTGTTATGTTTCTCGTTGCTTATGCTAATTTTTGTATTTTCATCTTGATGTTCACCTGACCATTGCTCATAACATATGAAAGTTGATCTTAGATTCAACTATGAGTACAAATGAATGTGCATGGTATGAAATTAGATAGTGGATGTTGTAAATAGAATGTCAAAGACAAATTTAAATAAATAAATTTGTCCCACTAGTGGTTAAGTTTCTAGATGTAGTGGTTCAATATGGTATCATAGCTGGCAAAACTCTAAGTTCAAGTCTTGTGAGCACATATTTATGAAAATTGTGCACCTGATAGGTTCTTTTCATAAATGTAAAAACGAGATGAAGGAAAAATGAATGAAGGGAAAATGAAGTATAATTGTATTTAATCTCACACTGAAAATATACAAATGGCATGTGTATATATAGAAGCTATAGGCTATTCTAGAAGAATATTCACATGTTATATACATAACAGAAAATACAACAAATTTCCTAACTAATACAAAATCCCTCATTCTCTTCTTCTAGAGGATTCTTATTCTGTTGTTGCTCGATTGCTCCCAATGGCAGTTGTGTCTTGGCTTCCTTCCACTGCTGTCGTGTTGCTGATTTCTTCAAAGCAATGGCTTGCTGGTTTTCAATTCGGCAGCTTTGTTAACTTCCAATAGCCCCCCGCAAGATGGAGAGAATATGTCTATTAGTCCCATCTTAAGCATACATAAGTAAAAGCTTGAGAGTTGCTTTGGTTAGAATGTCTGCAATTTGTGACCTGCTAGGAACGTGCTTAGAGGGTGTTTGGTGTTGATTAAAATTAGATTTTTAGTGGATTGCGATAGAAGTTTTTGAAATATGTGATTGAAAAGTTGTGGGACTCATAAAAGATGAGATTAATATTAGTTGTTTGACTTTGACTTGAATTAAAATCAGATTTTAATCCGGACCAAATAGGGGCTTAGTAACAGTTTATCCATCTTGAATTTTATCACGTATTAATTGACAATCGAGCTCTATGTGTTTGTCCTTTCGTGAAATACTGGGTTGGTAGCTATATGAACGGCTGACTTGTTGCCACAGTATATGAAAGTAGCTTGGGGATGAGCTATCTTTAGATCTTCAAAATAAGTATCTGAACCATGTAAATTTAAAACATGAATTGGTCATAGCTCTGATACCATTTCAGAAATGTAAAAACGAGATGGAGGAAAAATGAATGAAGGGAAATGAAGTATAATTGTATTTAATCTCACACTGAAAATGTACAAATGGCCGGTGTAAATATAGAAGCTATAGGCTATTCCAGAAGAATATTCACATGTTATGTACACAACAGAAAATACAACAAATTTCCTAACTAATACAAAATCCCTCATTCTCTTCTTCTAGAGGATTCTTATTCTGTTGTTGCTTGATTGCTCCCAATGGCAGTTGTGTCTTGGCTTCCTTCCACTGCTGCTGTGTTGCTGATTTCTTCAAAGCAATAGCTTGCTGGTTTTCCAATTCAGCAGCTTTGTTAACTTCCAATAGCCCCCCACAAGATGGAGAGTATATGTCTATTAGTCCCATCTTGAGCATACATAAGTAAAAGCTTTGAGAGTTGCTTTGGTTAGAATGTTTGCAATTTGTGACCTGCTAGGAACGTGCTAAGAGGGTGTTTGGTGTTGATTAAAATTAGATTTTTAGTGGATTGCGATAGAAGTTTTTGAAATATGTGGTTGAAAAGTTGTGGGACCCATGAATGATGTGATTAATATTGATTGTTTGACTTTGACTTGAATTAAAATCAGATTTTAATCCGAACCAAATAGGGGCTTAGTAACAATGTATCCATCTTGAATTTTATCACGTATTAAATGACAATCGAGCTTTATATGTTTGTCCTTTCGTGAAATACTGGGTTGGTAGCTATATGAACGGCTGACTTGTTGTCACTGTATATGAAAGTAGCTTGGGGATGAGCTATCTTTAGATCTTCAAATGAGTATCTGAACCATGTCAATTTACAACATAAATTGGCCGTAGCTCTGATACCATTTCAGAAATGTAAAAACGAGATGGAGGAAAAATGAATGAAGGGAAATGAAGTATAATTGTATTTAATCTCACACTGAAAATGTACAAATGGCCGGTGTAAATATAGAAGTTATAGGCTATTCTAGAAGAATATTCACATGTTATGTACACAACAGAAAATACAACAAATTTCCTAAATAATATAAAATCCCTCATTCTCTTCTTCTAGTAGAGGATTCTTATTCTGTTGTTGCTTGATTGCTCCCAATGGCTGTTGCATCTTGGCTTCCTTCCACTGCTGACTGTGTTGCTGATTTCTCCAAAGCAATGGCTTGCTGGTTTTCCAATTCAGCAGCTTTGTTAACTTTCAATTGTTCTTGATGAAGAAAATGAACCTGCCCTTCGTGTCAAGAGGCACGTTGACAAATAAATTTGTTCCCTCTCTAGTAGCTTAAGCGTTTAGGTGAGACGGATCAATATGGACAAATAATGCAATAACTGTTGCGTGGACGTGAGTGTATTTATACTTTCAGTTTTATTCCTTTCATTTGAAGACATAAATCCAGAATGGTCCAAAGTTGAATTAATTTTTAATAAATATTTTAGAAGAATGAGAACAAGTTGAATATATTTGGATAAATTTCTTTCATATTTTTTTTCTGAGTTTCTGTGAAGCAGCTCCCTGGCAATGGATAGAATACTGGATCTGCATTTCACCTAATATCTGTAATAGTATTGTCTCCGTTCACTGTACATGTACATAGCACAAAGAAAGTTATGATGAACTTGAGCATTACATTTCCCTGCAAGTTGGTGCAAGTATTTTCTCGGAGTTCATAACTTTATGCAATTTTTCACTAGTTAATTGTGAACCCAACATATTATCTGTCATGGCAGAAAAGATATAGACATATAGTACAGAATCATTTATATACTGATAAAATCAGTTACACTCTAGAGTTCAATTGTCGATATTTGAATAGAACAGAAATAAGTGAGATTTGTCTGAATACTGAAATAGAGTAAATTGCATCAAGAATTACTTTGCAGTTTGCACGCATCCTCTGAAAGACTGAAAGTCCATTATGTATTTAGCCTCTCAAACCATTCGTCAGAGGGGAAATATTTCGGCGAAGCTAGAGACTGTCACTCTACCCATCATGTAGCTCGTTCCTATTAGGTGTTCCTCGGCATTGTTCATATTTTGGTAAACAGAAATCACTGATAATCCTCCAACTGATTGACCTTTATTGTACTGCGCCAAGCCTAAAAAGTTGACCCAAGTGTATACTCCAACTCATTTATGCTCATGCAAGTATGAACACTGATAGTCTCTCCAACTGATTGATATCTATAGCACCGTTCCAAGCCCAAAAAAATTACCCAAGTGTATACTTCAACTTATGTACAATCTAAATACTTCTATTTACCAAAATTTGCTTCTTTCCTTGATCTACAAGGACACTGCTAAAATTCCTTCTTTCCTGTCCAGGCATGAGATGCAAGCTGTGCTGTTTCTTCCACTCCAAGCTAACCTGCCCTTTTATATGTTCCTGTCCTTTCGCTGTATCATACCCCCTTCCTCTAGGACCAGTCATCATCATCATTAATGACTCATTCAAATTGTTTGGCATTTCCATTATTTGATTTTCCTTGCCCAATGAACCCAAACCTAGTGGCAAAAGGCATAAACCCGAAAAATTTCTGCTCTAGTAAACAGAGAGAAACTTATCAAAGCATAAGCAAGGTGGTGGCTGATGTCAGCACAGTGGACATTGTCCATGATTATTTTGGGCTCGGCTTTTCTTCTCTTTTGGCTCTAAACAGTTGGACTATTTGCCAATTAAATGTTGAAAGTATTTGTCTGTTTTCTGTAGAAAATAATACTTTCTATTAAAATCGTTCAATCTGTAGGTTTGAAATTAAAATTATTCCAGATATCAAAAGAATTAGCCTTCTACGAATTCCAGAAATTCATGACATTTTTTTCTATTCTTTCCATTTTTGCTTTGAGTCCCCCTTTGATTCTCGTGAAAGCTCGTGAGATGTAACTTTTAGAATAAAGGAGAGAGAAACAATCCTGGAAAAAGAATTCATTGTAGTTACACCTGCACACATCAGTGCACAATAGCACTATGATATTGAACTTTCCATCCAGCTTATTTGCAAAATTGAAATTTGTCTTTATATCTCCGTAGCTTAGTATAAGATTCTTTCGCTGATAAAAAAAAAATTTAGGAATCTGTCATGCATTTTGCAACTCCATGACCATAATGGAGGGTTTTGTGTTGGTGGCAAATTCGGTTCATTTGGATTTGTTATGGAAATTGGAATGCTATGATATCAATTTGTTGGGAGAAAATAAGAGACTAAGTGCATTATGAAGTAATTGATCATAAGAACACAAAAATAAAATAATTTGCAGATAATTGAGATTTTATCATAATTTGGAAAAATTATGTGTTTATGATTTGTCTAACTTCTTCTAAATCATAATGAAGAGCCAACTATATGTAGGGAACAAATAGGGGACGTCCAAACTCTTATTGTAGAGTTGTAGATGAAGTAAAATGCCAAAAATGGGATCCAAAACGGAAAAGGAGACCAAAATAACGTAGAGAGGCAGAACAGGTGGAGCTGCAACGCCGGGCATGGCATGTACGGCCCCCGGATCCCAGCACCGCAGCGTTGGGCAGTTTTCTTCCGGTGCCCATTCTGGGGTCCTTTACTCCAAAAACTTGATTTTCTTCATCCTAAAGCCTTCTTCAAGTCCAACACAAATTCCTACTCCCGATGGATTTCCAAGTAGAACTTCAATTAGAATTCATCAAATAAACTTGAATATGATTTCACAGTTGCATTCTAAATAGGATTATAATTAGTGTGTATTTTAATTAGAACTCTCAATTATTTTCAATAAAGAATTCGGGCTACACCCAAATTCTAACAGGATTTGATTCGGTGGCACTTGCATTTTTGGTGGAGATTCTTGTTAGTGGGTGGTGGTGGTGTTGAGTTCTAATGGGGGTTCTGTGTTGGGGTTTGGATAGTGTGAATTCCTGAGTTTTGGTAGTGGTGAATAGAAGGAAACTAGAATGTCCTTTGACGAGAAATTTCCAGCTTATATTGCGCATTTGTTTTGTGAGATACAAAAAGTTAGTATTTAACTGAAAAGTAACAATGTTCAAGGTTTGTCTAACTCTAACTCAAGTTCTACATAGTTCTTGTGTCAGTTTCTAGAAGTAGATCTTTGGCTTAATGTAATGACCTTCATACGGCGTCCATGAACGTCAAAGAATACTTGAATGTGACCTCTTTTGCCTTCAATCATAGTCCTTTGTTTGGTAGCAAGTGTGTTTGCCTGAAGTTACAAGTGCTTCATACAGTAGCTATATTTTCTGCTCTGTTTTGATGCTCTTCCGTGCACTCGCCCAAAAATATTGAAGAGCTCATTTCTGTAGTTAGGGCCATGAAATGGACACTGCCTCCTTTCTTATTGGTCTGTTTATAAATATCATATAGACGACCATGATATGCATATATAGATTATTGCATTTACTATAGAACCTGCTCTTTTCTATATGATAATTTATAGATGTGGTGATTCACCCGTACTATCCGATTCATTCAGGTGGATAATTGACCCCACATTGGATGTACCCATCCCAGCAAAACACACGCCATGGCCAGATGCTCCTCCTGAACTCCCAACATCTGAAGTATTGGATGTAACCATCCCAGCAAAACACACGCCATGGCCAGATGCTCCTCCTGAACTCCCAACTTCTGATGTAAAAGTGACCAGCATCCCAGAGAACACAGAGAAACGTGTGCCCAAAAGATCAACAAGAAAACGCAGTTCACGAAGCAAAAGGAAGCGTGTACCCAAAGTATTAGATGAACATGTTTCCACGAGGCATTCTGGGGATAACTAGAATATTTTCATGACTATGAGCAAGCCGTCAACCTGAGAAATTTGATGACAAGACGACTATTCTTGTTGAGTAAATACCGAGGCATATGTTCCATATACCTAGCTGGTCGATACATATACATGTCATGTTGGTTACATCTAATTTTCGGATCTTCTTTTCAGTGTTCTTTGATTTCTTCTTGTTCAGTGACTGTGTTTTGGTATTGTGGTAGAGTTTTACTCCCGAGCCGTGCTACACTTGCCAGTTGGCAGAAACATGTATTCACTATCTCGTGTTTGATACATAGTTTTTCGAAATAGAAATCAAATATCTATTCAGTTGTTGGGATTGCAGCGCTGGTGCTTGTAAGTTGTATCAAGTCATTTGACTCCCGAACAAATTACTTTTTATATAGGATCGGTGTTCAATGAGAAAAGACTAAACCTTTATAACTTTCAGCCATCATCATTTTAGCAATTCAGTTCATGAACTTAATTTCTTTGATTTCGTTTTACTTTAACGTCATGAAAAACTGCATAGGGAAGGAGCACTAGAGAAAAATATAAATCTGCTATTGCATTTCATTTCCAGAGAAGTCGTGTGAAAAGAAGCAGGCTCTCAACTTGAATTATTATAGTGGAAAAATCCTTTCAAGAGCGGCGACCATAACGCAGTATGTCATGTATAATGTTGGGTTCTGAACTGAATGAATTTTGATTGGCAATAAGAAGCGGCCATAGTTTCTTTCGGTGCATCTCATAGATATTTGGGATTGCAGCGCTGAATTCTAAGTCTCTTACCTCGCTCAAACCATTAATTTAATCGATTGTAGGAACAGTCGCATTTTCAAGGCTGAATCTGAATTGGGAAAATCGGTGGAGCCGCCTCTGTTGCCTCCCCAATTGTGGGTAGACTGCAGAAAATTAGTTTTGGCTGTTTTGTGACCGTCAACTACCATTGAGGCTTCAAAGGGATCTAGGTTCATCCATTGGTAACATACATTTGAATATCAATATTGACTGACAGGAAAAAGGAGATTATGAACCTTTGATCAAATTTTGAATAGTTCTTGTACTAAAATTTGTGGCATGATTTAACTATAATCTAGTCCCTGTCGGGTTTAGATAAAAATAAGATTTTTAGATTTGATAAAAAATTATGAAATATATGATTGAAAAGTTACAATGCGAACCAAAATTCGGTTTGATTGTATATTTATCCATTTGAACATAATTCTTCATCTCGAAATCACGAGTCCAAATCAAATTAGGGTCGATATCATGCATCAGGATGATGGTATGTCAAACTCAATTTGGTCGATAAAGATAGAATTTGAATGAATACAAGTTATCATTCTTAAGAGTTTTGAGTTTTTAAGTAGAAACAAACGAAATAAAATGTGAACGTGTCAAGTTTTAATTGAAGAAAATGAATTCGCAAAATTAATAAGTGAACGTGTTGAAGATATCAGTGAAATAATTCGTCTTAATTGCACATGCTAGTCCAATAACAAACTTGCACATTTCTACAACCATGATGGTCACGGTTGACATAGGCCAAAGGTCACCCAGCACGTAATATGAATACTGGCCTCGAAAATGTAAAAACTTGGCAATTGGTGTTACAAAATTTCCCCAATATTATGATTAATGCATGTTAATATTTTAAATTTTTTATCGCCTATATAAACCCAAAGCCCCCATCCAACTGCTTCAAGCCTAAGCATTCCAACCATTCTTCCTCTGTGGGCATCAATTCCTATAGAATTCTCCTCTCCGTATCTTAGCCATGGCTATGCCCATAATATCTTTTCTTTTCCTCTTCCTCGCTTCTTTATCATATGCACTAGACATGTCAATCATAAATTACGACGATAAACACATACAAAAAACATCATTGGAAAGTGTCGAAGAAGTGAGGAGCTTGTACGAATGGTGGCTAGCAAGGCATGCCAAAGTATACAATGATTTGGAAGAAAATGACGAAAGATTTGAAATTTTTAAGGATAATTTGAAGTTCATTAATGAACATAACTCGGAGAATCGAACCTACAAGGTGGGGTTGAACCAGTTTGCTGATCTGACTAATGAAGAGTACCGGTCCATGTACTTGGGTACAAGGACTGAGGCTAAACGCCGGTTCGTGAAATCAAAAAACACTAGCCAACGTTACGCTATTCGGACCGGCGAAAAGTTGCCGAGATTTGTTGATTGGAGAATGAAAGGTGCCGTTGCTCCGGTTAAAAATCAAGGAAGTTGTGGTAAGGGTTTTTTTTTTTTTTTTTTCACTGCATTTTTTAAGTCGGTGAATTGTCTTTGTTATTTCTTTGAAATTTCACTTTATGAAGAGCCTAAAACACAAAAAGATTAATTTATATTGTTGTTTTTGGAATCAGGTAGCTGCTGGGCTTTCTCAACTGTTGCTGCTGTAGAAAGCATAAACCAGATAGTTACAGGGAAACTAATCCCTCTTTCAGAACAAGAACTTGTAGACTGTGACAGAGTTGAAAATTCTGGGTGCAATGGAGGCCTAATGGACTATGCCTTTCAGTTCATTATTAACAATGGTGGCATTGACACTGAAGATGATTATCCCTACAGGGGTGTTGATGACAGATGTGATCCTGCACGGGTTCGTGTTTTTCGAGCTAATTATCACTGTTAAAATAATATTTAAATGAAATACATTTTGTTCAATCTAACAGCTTAAACTTTTAGATCAACATATAAAGTATAAACACTCTCAGTTGTGATTTCTTGCGTTGTTTTGATGATTTATTTTCTGTTGATACAGAAAAATGCCAAGGTTGTTAGCATAGACGGCTATGAAGACGTGCCACCCCGGAATGAGATAGCATTGCAAAAGGCCGTGGCACATCAACCAGTGAGCGTTGCTATTGAAGCAGCCGGACGAGCTTTCCAGCTCTACTCGTCGGTAATTCACCTATTGTCTTTGTTCATATGTTCACGTGTGTGCCTTTTTTTCTTGTTCTAATGGAATTGAGAAAGATAGAAAAAAACATAGTCAAATACTATGTACTGAACATGCTATTTTCAGGGTTTATTTACGGGTCGATGTGGGACAGATTTGGACCATGGTGTCGTAGTTGTCGGCTATGGAACAGAGAACGGGCTTGATTATTGGATTGTGAGGAACTCCTGGGGACCAAATTGGGGTGAAAATGGATATATCAGAATTCAGCGTAACGCATCTGGTAGTCGTGCTGGAAAGTGTGGTATTGCAATTGAACCTTCATATCCAACCAAGACCAACTCTAAGGTGTTTTATTCAAGCGTTTAATCATCTTCTCACGGCCAAGGAAGAATTGATGATATACCAAAATTTATCAGTAACGGGCTTAGTTTTTTATTGTCGTTGTGGGATAGAATTAAGTTGTTGTTTGGCAGTATTTATTCTACTTAGTTTCTGCTTACTGTTTGATTGATTGGAATTTCACTATCATGATCAGCTTGTATATTTGATTGTATTGCACTTGATATTGGAAACAACTGGTTTTATTATATGCATTTTATTGCTTTTCTGTCACTTTCTTCAACTACTACTGTGAATTATCATATATTGCTAGTTACATGAGTTGATAGTGAAACTGTTGTTTAAAGAATGTTGAGTCCTACCTCCTTTATTCCCTTTTCTATATTCAGTTTAATATAAATGAAAACTCAGATCCCGTTTTGCAAATATGATTTTTGGTGCCTTTACTACAAATGAAGATTGTTAAATCTGCTAAAATGTTACATTCAACACCTCGGTGCTACACGAAGGCAATATCCTGTATATCCTGTGCACTTCGTGACAAGGAACGCAAGTACATCTTGAGGTTTTTCAGCCATCTCATGGCACACGAAAGCAGTGTACACATCATAGCAAGAACGTAGTCTATTTCAAACTTTCTAACTTTAATTTCTTTATATCTACCGAAGACATGTCCAACCAACAGAATCGTTTGGCTCATATTAAACCTTTAACCCACTTCGTCTTTACTTGTTGATTCACCTTTCATTCCTCATCACATTCTCCATCTCGATCACCTTATGAACTCTTAACAACATAACTCTTAAATAAAATAGGCTAAAATCTGGATAAGTTATGTCATTGTTGCAGAGGCTAAATGTAAAATTTCTTGTTACTTATATTTCTTTTACTAACACTGACATATTTACAGTAAGATTAAGTTGATAATTTATTTAATAATTGCATAAGATGTTTGAAGTTTGAAGCTGGCGGGGTTTAGTTGGTGACTTGGCATGAGGGATGAAACTTCCATGACTAGATAAATAATGCGTACACACTTGAGATGGGGCAATTATTTTCTGTTTCCAGCAAAGTACATGACCATTTTTATTTCTTGCATATGCATGATTGATTCGGCTGAGGATGTCCCTACTGCGGGATAATTAAGCATTGGATTGGGAGTGATGCGGAAGTAATTGTTCAAGTTCTTGAATCCTACATTATAATTTTAGGTTTCACATTTTGCAGAACATACTGATAAACTGTCGAATCTGTCAGCTTTTGATGTTTTTTTTGTAATCTCTTTGAATTAATCTACTTGTACAATGATGGTTAACAATGTTTGATGTAGCTAAATCTGGACAATTAATTTAGAAAACAGTTTTTAAAATTTTTTTTGAAGTGGATAAATGTAATAATGTCAAATTATGATTGTCAATAAACTTTATCAACAGTCATTGTACAAGTAGCATGATTGAATCTCTTTTGTTAACTTGGGCAGGCTTTAAGTTTTGATTTGACTCTCTTGTAAACGTAAGTACATTCAATGATAAGTTGGTGTGCGATCAGGATCAAATTTCGACGAAAGATCCAATATCAGTTAATATTTCAAGGGAAATTTCTAAAACCCAATGTCATAAAGAAATGGAACGTTATGATTCAAAATTTCATATAAAAAAAAACCTAACCTATAGGCATTTCCCACGAGAAAGTTTCCTAAAAATAGAATTCTTGAACAACAAACCAGTATATAACTTCTTGATTCGATGTGGATGATATTCATCTAATCGAAGGAAACAAGTGAGTATGATCGCTCTGCTGGAACTTCACGATGACTGGTGAAAGCTCCTCAAAAGCTAGCCTAGAAATTGAGAAGAAAAATGTTGAGGTGGGATCGAAAGATAATTTTGCAACAATTGTATGTGCTTTAAATGAAACAAATTACCAAAATTCATCTAAGAGGGAAGGCTTTCGTTATCAGCTGATGGTGCACTCATTCTGTTGTACCTCTGAAAAGGGAAATAAAGCTTACAGTTAAGGACTCAGCACCTACTAATAGATAATTGCAGTGAACCATAAAATTCAGAGGCTAAAATATTTAGACACGTGGTGATATATCACCATACCTGCTTTCCAAAGGAGAATGGAACATATTTGTATTTTATCATGTGTAGAATCTGTCTCCTCAGAGTAAGCGTGCAAAGAATGATCCAGTAGAAAAGGAGAATTGGCCAAAAAACAGGCACATCAAAAACGCTGAATAATGTCAACGCAAAAGCAATACAGAAGGCTTTGGTGATCGAGTACCTTGAGAGAAGAAAACCGTGATAGTTCAATAAGCATAAATAGCCAGAGAGCAAATCATTTTGTTTTTAATGCCTTGTGCAGTTTATGGGGAGCTTAAAAAAAGTCACAACCCTTGTGAGGTTCCTTGTAGTCTTGTAGCTTACAGACTGCTTTAAGCACACAATAATAGATAATGGTGTCAACTGTTTAGACAAAATAACGATATAAGAAATAAGCAAGTTAATCCACCTTCCACTCCAGTCTTAAAGAAAGACCTTCACACTAGAATCTCTGGACGACAACCTTAAGAGCAGATTACAATATGCTTATCCACATTGCCATTTAGGAACAAAAATTCATCCCACAAGCATAAAGAGAGACCCATTTGCACCTTAAGCCAATTTCTGACTAGCAGGCTATGGCCTATTAGCATAGACACCACCCATAACCACAATACTTCATTGTTCTAGACAGTGAATCAGTAGTTTTATGCAAATACCTAATGATAGAACACAGTAAAAAAGCAGCATCTTAGAATCACCGTGGCTATAGCAATTGCCACTACGTAGATAGCAAGGTCAACATGTGGACTAGACTTGTTGATGCACATAAAGGACATAGGCAAAACAACAATTGTGCCTGGGTCCTTTTTCAACACGAAAGCACCTAGCACAAAAACCACAAAAGTTCCAAGAAATACTAATTCAACATAAAGCATACTCCACGCTTATCAAGAGTGGGGTGGGTGGATAATTTTTTTTACGTTTTTATTGCGCGGGACCCACTCTTGTGTGAGAGGGTGTAAGGCTTCTGTAATGTTTTTCTTCTGTACAAATGGAAATTTCCTAAATGTAATCACATGTATTGTGACTCGTGAGTAGCAACTAATGACAACAGAAATGGTAGCACTGCTCTATTGTACTACAGAACAGAGAGATGTAATCACAGGAAGGGCAGAAAATGAACCCAAAAAAGGCCTTCTTTTCCTTCAAAACTAGAAACACTTGATCATATCGAACTACTCACTCAGACTTAAAAAGAAAAATCAACTTTATCATTAAAATTCTAATGCACAGTATACCAGTAATATTTTGTGCATAAAAAATGCTCAATCGATTTTTCTAGATGTAAATGAGTGCAAAATTTACAAATCCTTAGAGGGGCTTCTCAATAGCCTCCCTTGATGTGTGAAACTTTCAACAGACTAAAAAACGCATCTTTATGTAGATCTAATGGCCCTTGACGTATATTCAACCTCATGATTAACAATCATAATGCACAGCAAAAGCAGTTATCCTTCTTCTAAAAGTAAACAAGTATAATAGTTACAAACAACTAATAATGGTAAAACGTTTCCTGTAAAATCTTTCTCCATAAACAAAAGTTTCACCCAGTGACTTTTACTCAAAAATTATCCAGTGTTTAGCTAATTCTTGTATTAAAAGTTTTAGTTTTTGTTCCATGTCTTTGTAATCAACATTTGCACTGATTTCCCAAAGTTCAGATGCTCGAAGAAAAATTACTAAAAAAATTAAGAAAAATAAAAAACCGGAAGTGGTCAAAACGGCAACGTAAAAGAAACGCACCAAAATTTGAACTCTGGAAGGCGGCGAACGAACGGTCGAAACTCGTCGGAGCCTCGAGTGGGGAGGGTCTGACCGTCTGAGAATTCAGGGTCGACCTGTGGCGAGAGAAACCCGATGAGGAGGTTAAGAATGTAAATTCCGAGTGCATAGGTCACCACGTAAAACCCTGGGAACAGGTACACCCGCAACACATACACGAAAGCGATGAAGAGGAACGCAATCCACCGGTAGAGCACGTACGGAGTAGACTTGTCCAGGAGGTGCTGGTACTGCTGAGAAATTGTGAAGGCCCAGTGCGACACGGCAGCGGCGGGAGAGGCTGAGTTAAGATCATCGGCGGGTGTGGAGGAACCACCTAGTATGGGATCCATGATAATTGGTAGATAGTTTGTGTGCAGTTTAGTTTGGAGCCTCATGGTTGTGAACTTGCTCTAAAGGGGAAACCGAATAGGAGTTAATTTCGTGTTAGTCCTTATATTTCGGTAAAACTCGAGTTAAGCCATAAAGTTTTAGAAATTATCAGTTGGTCCCTATAATGACGGTATATGGTTCATATAATAATTCCGACTTTTAACTAGACGTCAAGTGTAAATTTAGATGCTTTTGTTTTCGATTTCGGAGATGATGAAGATTATGACAGTGAATAAACAACGATTAGATCCATCTGGTGCCTCTGGACCATTTTGAGCCCATTCTTATATGGTGTCAGTAGTGCTCTCGGGGCATAGTTCAGTGGTGCAAATGACAGGAGTGAGGTAGTCTCAGCTGAGCTGACGCCGCAGTGTGAGGGTTCGATTCCTACCTCTTACAATGCATGAAATTGGACTCTTTGTGGACATCAGTCAGGGCCGGTCCTGTGATCGGCGGGGCCTAAGGCGAAGTCCGAAAATTGGGCCCCCGGTGATCAACGTAAACGCAATATCCAACCGTGCATTATGCAATGTATTGCAAACTTAACACTGCCGTGTAGAACAACAAACAAATATAAAGAATAAAAGATTTATATATTATAAAGTAACAAAACCGACAAGAGTTCAAACAATCAATTAAATACTATTCGTCTCGCTGTTTTAGAG